ACACTGCTAAATTAGGGAAGGCTAGCGCAGATAGCCCTCGTGTAGCTTTGCGCGAAATCCGTAACAAACAAACAAACTAGAGAGCAAAACATAAACGTGCTTCAAATATCAATCGTCCTTTATTAATAGTTTGAATCAAGAATTCGTGAATAACACATCAACTTTTATGTAGGTCATGATATGGACCTCAGATTACATTGAAATTCAAATTTCAAGAAAATTAAGTTTCATTTTATAGGTAAGAATTTCAAAACATCACTGATTTGATATATAAATAGTGAAACTTTTAAGCCTTTGTTGTAAAGGGGTTAAAAGTCGAAGACAGCCACGGCGTTAAGTTAGGAAACATAGCCTTAGGCGCCAAATACTCGGAGGCTCCAGTGCGAGTAGGAGCAAGGCTATATCTCTGCACAAGGGCGCCAGTTAAACTATCACTTACACTTGGTCACAGAAATTTCTGGGGCGGATCTAGGATACTGTGAGAACGGTTCGACAGGATTGCCTTTAGCACATCCGGGAAGATGATCGCCGTAGGCGTGAAAAAAACGTCCCCCTCTTTCGTTCCAGATAGGTGGTCTAGAGTAACGCTGTAAGCTCCCCCCCCCCTCCCCTAAGCAGGATCTAGGATTACGCTCCAACAGCCAACACAAGAAGAGTTCCTAAACGAAGATAAGATTCCAGAAATGTTCGTTATTTGTGAACTATGAAAGGTCATCTTAATCAACGAGTATAATACACAAATGTCTCAGAGTGCGAGTCGAGCTCCCTAACCACCTGGCCATGCCGGGCCCTTTTGCTTGTGGAAGACCAAACCCACCGCCAACTCTTGGGCTACTCTTTTAGCAACGAATAGTGGGATTGACCGTCACTTATAACGCCCCCACGGCTGAAAGGGCGAGCATTTTCGGTGTGACGGGGATTCGAACCCGCGACCCCGATGATGACTAGCTGCCTTCCCTCTAGTCTTACACTGCTCAATTAGGGACGGCTAGCGCAGATAGCCCTCGTGTAGCTTTCCGCGAAATTAAAAAAAACAAAAACAATTACAAACAAACATTTTCCGACATTCATCCAGTTGTGCTTAGGAAACCTAACCACACGGTGACGTTTCTGGCTTCATATTGTTTACAAACTATAAATTTCATACCAAAGATACGTAAACAGATTTTAAGCAATGAAACACGTCATACAATTTTTAACCATACCTTAGCTTGGGTACAAAAATAAAATTCTGCCTCAAAAAAAAAAAAACAACTTTTTTTTTTCAGAAACAAAATAAAATGTTTATCATCAGAAAATTTACCTTCATGAGGGGGAGAAAAGGAAGGTTCTGAACCAGAGTCAGGGGGACTGTCAGGTAAACAAAGTCTGAAAAAGATGACGAAAGAAGAATCGTTTTTTTAATTCATGGATCAGTACCTTAAAATCACTTTTTTTTAAACACCCGTTCTTACGAAAAAAAATCTTTCACAAAAATCAATATACACATCATTGAATCTTTCGAAAAATAATATAATAAAGAACTTATTTAATGTTTGACAAAACATGTAACCAAAGCAATTTAAAATATGTATATATACACACATATACATAATATGTTACATGACGCATTAAATATACAAAGCAAACAAAAATTCTCATTTTGTATTCTAAGCATGTTTGTTTAGTAGGTACATTTGTGGAACAAGAAAATAGTGAAACTGAATAAGGTATTCTGGCCAGTTCTTTGATTTTAATTCTGTTTCTACCAGAAATAACCCCTTCGTAAATAAAATCGTGTGTGGATACCAACTAACTAACTTGAGATTTATGCGTAATATACATTTAAAATCAGTTGAGTGTAATAATAATATTAAAATAACACTTTTCGTTACGTAGATGCAAAGTGAAATCATTTCATTTGTAGATTGAGTGCTATATTTACATCCCGTGGAGCAAGAGTACCTTCCAATTCAGAGTGTTCTAGTTACATCCCGTGGAACACGAGTACCTTCCAATTCAGAGTGTTCTAGTTACATCCCGTGGAGCAAGAGTACCTTCCAATTCAGAGTGTTCTAGTTACATCCCGTGGAACACGAGTACCTTCCAATTCAGAGTGTTCTAGCTACATCCCGTGGAACACGAGTACCTTCCAATTCAGAGTGTTCTAGTTACATCCCGTGGAACACGAGTACCTTCCAATTCAGAGTGTTCTAGTTACATCCCATGGAGCAAGAGTACTCCAAATTCAGTGTTCTAGTTACAACCCGTGGAACACGAGTACCTTCCAATTCAGAGTGCAAGAAACAGATTCTCATTATAAAAGAAGGCCCATCTATTAATATAATCTTCTTACCTGAGGGGAATGCTTCTGATCCACCAGTGGAAAACATTACGCAGATTTGATTAGTCAGTGGATAACGTTACGCGGATTCTGTCCAATATCTCAGTTAGTAAAACGTCAGGATCTCTGGATTACGACAAAGGATATCACAGACCCATGACGTCTATGGTTTTTCTTTCAAAGTTGGCCATCAAAATCCTGGTATTGTATTATCACACCATTCGTTTATTGGTAGACACATCAAACTTTAACTTACGTTTGTAAAGTACAAGAGACCGATGTCATCAACGACAAGTCTGGTGACCTCGACATCTGTAATAAACTATGAAGATGAAGCAAGTCTGGTGACCTCCACATCTGTAATAAACTATGAAGTTGAAGCAAGTCTGGTGACCTCCACATCTGTAATAAACTATGAAGCTGAAGCAAGTCTGGTGACCTCCACATCTGTAATAAACTATGAAGCTGAAGTAAGTATTCTCGACCTTAAGTCCA